ACCCACCTGACGTGATGCAGTGGTAGTAAGATTAGAAAAACTAGAACAAAGGAGCTGCTCGAAAGAAACGAAAGACAAAAAAAAGGTGAATGTAAAGGACCGAACGCTTGCTGCAATCGTACGAGCGCTGAATGAGTGTGTTGGGTTGGTGGTCGAATTCGGCTGGCAAATCCGACGCGAATGATGGCCGCTCTCGTCAAAGCAAGGGAGCGCGAATGCTGCGTTGGGGCGGTAGCCTTTGTTCCAATCCGAGACACCAAAGAGCGGCGGCAGAATTAAGGAGAGAAAGGGGAAATGGCAAAATCAGAAGAACGCGGTGGGGGTAGAACAGCAAGTACAGAAAATAAAAGGAAAATAATGGATAAATTCCTTCAAGCCCCCCGAATGCACTCCGTTCCTAGCTCCGCTGTTCTGCAGGCAAGTCAACGTTTGGCGAGACACTCTGGTAAGGAAACGAAGCGGGAAAAGAAACAGACAAGAAAGGAATAACAGACGTCCAGAACAAGAGGGAAAAGCGAGTAAGGAAGGGGATAGGAAAGAAAACAGCAGGGCCCCAGGCGGAATCTGGCGAATTGCACACCAAATAAGAGAGGGGACGCCCAAAAGCACAAGCAAAAAAAAAATACGCGACCAAGCAAGGTTAAGGCTGATCTGGAATTGGCGTGTCTGGCCAAGGTCCCGTCTGATTCGCTCAGTGGGTTCCGAGTGGCTCCAGTGAGAGGAGAGAAACAGCGGGAGAAGCGAGGCTCTGGGCAGGTTGACAGCGAAACAAAACACGCGTTCTGGACGGATGACCGGCGGCCTGAGAACGGTGCTTTGCGGGTAGTATCAACAAGCGAAGGATTGAGAAACAACAAAAGACACCGGGCCGGGACGCTACAGAAAAGGAGGACACGCCGACGTCGGTTCTCTCATTTTCTCTGCTCCTTTCCGTGCGGTTTGTTTGTACCGTCTCGCTTGGATTTGTCGCTCGTTGTCGATCGCGTTTCCGAACCAGCGAACTGACTGCACTGGCACCTGGGCAAACTGACCTTCAGGATTGTCACAGGCCCCGCAGCTAGAGGAATGGCAAAAGAACCGAGGCGGAGGGGAGAACAAAAACAAACAAAAGGAATGGAGGCGAAAAGACAGATTACATATTACAAAGGGAAATAAGGAGAGAAGATACAGGAGGAAGATGCGAAGCGGAAAGGGGGCAGGAATGTGCGGAAATCCTGTCTCCGGAGATGGAAAGTACGAGGTTTTTGTTGACAACACGATAGGCAGGCGCGATAGAGCCAGACATGGGTACAAAGATCCTCCATAACATGCCATCGCACAATGTACTACCAAGAGTGTTATTGCACTACCGGAGCACGAACAGCTTTTGGCAAGGACCAGGGAAGAAGCGACAGACCGGCGTGCTTCACTTCGGCCGGTCGTCTGGGATGAGATAGTTGCGATGCAAACAAAACAAAATTCGACAAGGGTGTCCACACAGATGGGTACGAGTCATATTGCTCAAGTAAGTAATACGGAGCGGCCGCACGTACGGAGTATTACGCTATAAGAATGCTGGAGGAGCGAGACCAGGCCGGAGAGAGGCCCATGTGCTGCGAGACCGGGCCCGCCATGCACCTTCCAGCAGTTTACAACTGTGATAGTCGTACTTTTCTTTGACGAATCTATGTCGAGTAGTAACTACGATGGTAAATAATGTGGGTAAAACAAGAGAATTGAAGCATAGCCATGGTGGCTCAGAAAAGACCATGCTACGCAAAGTCAAAAGAGCGACCAGTTGATGTTGCTTTTGATCCCATCTTGTGGCGGACCGCGACTCATGAAAACAAAACAGGCAATTGAATCCACTCAGAACGCGTCGCAAGCTTGTCGTGCATAATGTTGACAATTTGGCCGCCCCTGCGCAAGACCCAGTGCCGTGGCCAATCACAGAGCCCCGTTCATAGAGCATTGCACTAGCACCAAACAAGGCCCAGGACCAACGGGCCCCCAAACGGCAACTAGATGGCCGAGGTGGGCAAGAGCGAACACGTAAATTTCGCTTATGTAACAGAGAGCGAAGTGTGGCGAAAAGTTTCCATGTGTGGCTGTGACCTTCTACCACCAGATCTTGATATCAGACTGGATGTTGTTGCATTAAAAGCTATCCAAGCTACCCTTGTTTGACCCAGTTTCTCGGCCATCGTCTCTCCAAAACTTCACACAAAATATCATAGCCATGTCGGAACCAGCAGCAGACGGCAGCGGTGCTGTCGAAGGCATTGTCCCAGTTGCGCCCGTTCTATTTAAGGCGCGCGGCCGCAAGGGCAAGGCGAACATGCGGAAACGGTCACCAACGCCGCCACCAGCAAATAGCGAAAGCGACAGCGATTCCGGCAACTCGTCCGACGAAGGCCGGGGAGCGATCTGGGAAGCGAAGCGGCGAAGAAAAAACGGGGCCGGCGTGATCGGCGCGTCGACAGAAGGCGCATCCTCAAAAAGCGGCGTCGCAGCACCGACCGAGCTCGAGCAACCACTACACTATGCCGACCGCAGCGCACTCCTTGCCGACACGGACGTGGCCACAAAGCGCAGCCACATGTTTGACGACAAGGACAACAAGGCCAAAACGGCCGCAACAGCCACGCAAGCAGCACCAACGCCAGGCGCGCTGATGGGCGGCGTCGCGCCGCCCAAGTCGGTCGGCCCTGTCAAGGCGGCCGCCAACATCCGCACCATTACGTTTACCGACTTCAGCCCGGACGTCTGCAAGGACTACAAGCAGACGGGCTTTTGTGGTTTCGGCGACAGCTGCAAGTTCTTGCACGCGCGCGAAGACTACAAGCAAGGCTGGCAGCTGGACAACGAGTGGGAGGCCGTGACCAAGGGCAAGAAGAACCTGGGCGGCACCATCGTAGCCAGCGCCGACCGCAAAAAGTTTGGCGCTTCGGCGGCGGACAACAACGACGACGACGATGACGAAGACGAGGCCTTGCTGCGCGAGATCCCCTTTGCGTGCGTCATCTGCCGCCAGAGCTATAAGCAGCCCGTCATCACACGCTGCGGCCACTACTTTTGCGAAAAGTGCGCGCTCGACCGGTACCGGCGCGACCCGAGCTGTGCTGCCTGCGGCGCCGCCACGACGGGCGTGTTTAACAATGCGAAGCGGCTCACAAAGCTCCTGGAGCGCAAGCGGCAGCGTGCGGCCAAGCGGAGACAGGCAGCACTCGAGGCCGGTGAAGAGGTCAGCAGCGCCGAGGAGGGCGAGGAAAGCGACTAAGGCGGTGATGATTTGACGTCACTGTTTTACGATTTGTATATCACACTTTTGGCATTGGGCGGCGTTTGGCATTTGACTTGGATTGGAGAAGTTTATTTTTATGGAATACATAGGTATCCACTGTCTGGGCGAGGCCCCAAGGGCAGCAACAAAAGCAATCTATCTTTTGATTCTTCGTTTCTAGGTCTCTAGAATGAGAGTAGCTTTAACAAAGTCACTGTAAATCTTTTCTCGGCGTACTCTCTCGGCGCTGTGAAGCGCATCAGTGTGGCCACTGCAACAGTAAAGTATGATGCCTCATCGATGCACTTGGCCAGTGCGGTATTGTGCACATCGGCTCGGCTCGGATGCGTTTCGCCTTGGCCTCCGCACCTCAGTTTTTCCTAATAAGGCTACCGGCGTGTTGGGGGCTTTGTGCCGAGCCGCCTCCGTAGCGTAGATGGCTGAGATTTGATCCATCGGGGACAAAATCGGTGGCGTGCGCGGCGCATGGTCGGGATGCGTCTTCTATTTGAGCGAGCACATGTCTCTCACTTTCCAGACGTCGAGCTTCCGCCCGGACTTCCTCTGCCAATGTTGCGCTGCGCACTGCTCTCCATGCGCTCACGGAGTGTTTCGGCCTTCTTCTCCCACGATGCGCGGGTCTGGACAAGGCCGCGGCGGCGGGTCTCCAGAGCGGCAATCAGGTCGTCTTCGCCGGCAGGCTCATTGATCATCTTACGTTTCTAGAAGAATGTCAGCATTCACGTATCCTGGGGCGCAAGCAACGAGGTGCCTCCGATATTCTTACCTCCTTGGCCTCCATATCCGTCTTGAGACCGGCGCCGACAAGCGTGCCGACAATCGTTATGGCGGCAATGCCGGCCGTGAGGATCATGCCGCGGATGCGGACTCTCGGCGCGACATCCTTTGGAGGCTGCATGACGACAGGGCGTGGTGGGACTTCTGGAAAGGAATGCGGAAGCCTTGGGTTGTTGTTTCCGCTCACAGTTGTCGTCGAATGTCGGCATGAAAACATGCGTGGGGTTACTTCCATTTGATCTCCAAAATGCTTCTAAATATTTTGGCGGTGGCGACTGGCAGAACGGCGCCAAGCAAAACACCGCGACAGAATATCTCAAATAAAACGACTGTAATCCCTTCTTATATTTTATGGTATTTTAATACTGCTATGTGTTTATTTCTGTATTTATTGATATAGATTTGTCTTTATTGGTTCAAGTTGTTACGCTGTTGCATTATCGTGTTACTTTTTGAGTATTTTATTTCAGAATTCTCTAAAGAAACAATAGCTCCAACACCTGTCACTTAACGTACTTAAACGACATGAGAGCAAAATCATACAAGTTGAAAATGTATCGATAGACTTATAATACTGAGAGGAATCTAATGGAACTATAATAGCTGGTAACTATACAAACCCCCATGTAATGTTTTCCTATGAAAATCAAGACCCGAAAACGCCAATGCAATGCAGCCTCAGAAAGTGCCTCTCGTTTTGAACCACCGGCCCGTCTATTAGCCAAAGAGAAAGAATGTGTCCCCGTGCATATGTACTCGAATCATGCTGAAGCCTTGTACGGCCAAGCTATACATTAAGAATAGGGAGTGGTGAGTGAGAAGGCCCCCGCGTTGGATAGACCGTTCGGTCAATTTATACAAATGTCGTCGCCGTCGTATATTTTTTCGTGGATTTTGTTCTTTCTTTTCTCTTCTTTTCTTTTGTTAAGAACTGCGCCTATTATAATGGCTCTGGCGCGTTGAGCATCTTGAGCACGATTTCGTAGATACCGAACGTGATACCGGCCGCAGGCACCGTCCGCAAGAGATGCGGCGTCAGGCCGCCGTAGAGGCCAGGGATGCGCTCCTCGCGCCACACGCGCACAAAGCACTGTACGAGACCCGTGTACTTGCGCTGGCCGTCGGCCATGGGTGCCTGCCGCAGCCGTGTGCGCACGACCTCGTGCGGGTAGGTGAGGAGGGAGGCAAACAGCTTGGCCGCCCCGGCGCCGCCCAGCGGGCCCATCCAGTCGACGAACTGGTCCCAGGCGTTCTCTTTGCGGCCCTGGGCAACGATGCGCGCCTTGCGGCGCTCCAGCCCGCGCTTCATCTGCTCGTACAGCAGCCAGTGCAGCGTGGACTCGGCGGCACCCAGGTAGCTGGCGGTCATGCCCTTGTAGAGGCCGCGGATGCCCTCGTTCCGCAGCACCTGGCGCACGCAGTCGGCGCTGTTCTTGTACTGGCGCTCGATGCCGCGGTTGGCGTCAGCGCTGTTCTTGTCGAGCTGCATGCGCGTCTTGATCAGCCAAATGGGGTTGGTGGCCGTCGACGTCACCAGGCCCGCAAAGATGCCCGCGACGAGCTGGACCCAGGGCGTGTCCTGGCTGACGTGGGCCTGCTCGGCAATGATGCGCTTGCCGTTGCCGTACGTAAAGAAGTTGATGGACTTGGCGGGCATGGTGCCGACGAGCGTCGGGCCCAGGCCCTTGAAGAGCGCCCGCCAGCCCTCGACGCGCTTGACCGTGACAAAGATTTGCATCGTCTCGCCGAGGTGTTTTGAGACGGCGACGATGGGGTTTCGTGACGCTGGACGGGCAATCTGCGAGGCGCGCAGTTGCTTCTGGTAGAAATCGGACTGGAGACGTGTGCGGATGACATCAAAGGGCGCTGTCGCTGTTGCGGCGGCCAAACTGCCGACTCTGTAAGAACGACAAGTGTTAGATCAGGATAGCAGTGGGCGGGTAGCCAAGAAGGATGAGACGTACGCTCCTGCCACAATGTGCGACCACGACTTTGCGTTCTTCACGGCCACGCCATGGCCCTGCTGCTGCAGTTCTTGCTGCTGTTGCGCCATGGCGCCTTTCTCGACATGGGATGTGCCAGGCGGGTTGAAGGCCTCCGGCGCATCTTTTGGTGGCCGGACTGGCGCCGTGGATTCGGTGAAGCCTACAAGGCCGTCGGAGGTTGCGCGTTGCGACATGGCTCGTTGTGACATGGTTTCGGAGTGGCCTGCTGGTCACATTGCAGGCTGCCGGGTCGCCGGGGAGGGGGTGTTGTGGGAAGACGAAGGAACAAAAAAGAAAAAGAAAACCTCTTCTAGAGCAAGAGGCACCGAAATTTGGGTAGGCAATGCGTCGCGGTCAGAACAGGCCTAAAAAATGTTTCAATGGGAGGGAGTGGCCCGGCGATAAGATAAGGCCGCGCTGGGTGGCGATAGCGCGCGATAAGGCAGGGCCTGAATTATTAACCTGTTTTCCTTACCGGTGCCCACTGCCAGCCCTGCCTGGAACACGCTGTCGCAGCCTCCTTCGGTTCTCGACATTTCGAGCAAAAGCTCTGACGACAACCTGCGTCCCACACTCGGCCGAGATTCGAGCAGCAATCGACTTTCAAAATCTCTACCTGCCTGAAAACAAGTCGACACACATACACACCCACACACACGCCACCATGTCGATGCTCGGGCGCCAGTCGCCCGACGAGCGCGACGACCGTCTCGGCGGTTCGCGCTCCGCCACGGGGCCGTCTCGCAAGGAGGAGAACGTCTACATCCCGCAGTTCATCACGAAGCGGCCCTTTTACGCCATAAACGAAGAGGAAGAGAGCGCCTCCGCCGCCGCCGACAGCGCCGCCGAGGGCACCGCCAACATCACGCGCTCCGGCTCCCGCGACTACCTCGAGCACCAGCGCCTGCGGAAAACCGAGCAGGACTCCAAGTGGTACCAGCGCGGCAAGAATGCCGGGCCTGTGGCCACCAAGTACCGCAAGGGCGCCTGCGAGAACTGCGGCTCCATGAGCCACGCCAAGCGCGACTGCTTCCACCGCCCGCGCGCGCGGCTGGCCAAGTACACGGGCGAGGACATCCAGGCGGACGAGCTGGTCGAGGACGTCAAGCTGAGCTGGGACGCGAAGCGCGACCGGTGGCTGGGCTTCGACCCGCGCGACTATGCTGGCATGATGGCCCAGCGGGAGCGCATGAACGAGGCGCGGCGCGTGCTGGTCGAGAAAGCCACGGCCGCCGGCGGCGGCGGCGGCAGCAGCAGTGGCGGCACAGGCGACAAAAGCAGGGATGGCGCAGAGGCCGGAGACGGTGGCGCGCTGGTCAAAGCGGCCGGCGACGACGGCACACGGTACACAGAAGACACGGAGCTGGGCGTGTCACGAAAGAACGGGGCGGCCGACTTGCGGATGCGCGAAGACACGGCGCGGTACCTTGTCAACCTCGACGTCGACTCGGCCAAGTACGACCCGAAACGGCGCAAGATTGTGGACGGCGGAGCGTTCCTCGACGACTCGGCGCGGCTCTTTGCCGAGGAGAACTTTGCCAAGGCCTCCGGCGACGCCGAGGCGTTTGAAAAGGCCGAGCGGTACGCCTGGGAGGTGCACGACAAGACCGGAGACGCCAGTTTGCACATGCAAGCCAACCCGACCGCGGCCGCGCACCGCCGCAAGTTGGACCAAGAAGAAGCGCGCAGGAAGCAAAAGGAGATGGACGACCTGATGCGGGAAAAGTACGGCGTCGCCCCGTCGGACGCCATTCCCGGATTGGACGAGAAGGAGAGCAGCAGCGGCAGTGGTGGTGGTGGTGGTGGTGGCGGTGGCCAGGTGCCGCTCGCGGCCAAGAAAAAGGCGGCACTGCTGGCCACGGCCGTGGCCTCTTCGGAGCACTTTGTCGAATACGACGAGTCCGGCCACGTCAAGGACAAGTACCAGGCGAAGCGTGCCGACCGCTCCAAGTACGCGGAGGACGTGTTTCCACTCAACCACACGTCGGTCTGGGGCAGCTGGTGGAGCAACTTCCAGTGGGGCTATGCGTGCTGCCATTCGTTTGTGCGGAACAGCTACTGCACGGGCGCCGACGGCAAGGCTGCATGGGAGCGTGCTGAGCGCCAGCGGTTGGGAGACTGGGGCGACAACGACGAAAAGGACGAAAAGGACGAGGAGGCCGACAGTGGCCGTGGAGAGCGGAGAATGCTCAAGGAAGCGGGCGACGAGGGTGACGCACCGTCCGACGACGACCAGAGGCGAAGGGACTCGTCGCCGCCGCGGAAACGGAAGAAGGAACGGAGCTCGCGGGACGACTGATATGTCCTTGTGATCCGCGGCCTTGGATTCACGCCCGTGTCGGGGTTTCTTTGTATTGTATTTATCAACATACTCACTTGCATAGCGATTCAATGACAGCCATTTGTAGAACGTGAAATACTTTGAAAACAATGCCTTCCATTTGAGTGGATCCATATACTCTGTGACATCCCGTAAGCTTTATATTTGTCAGGCTCTTATACAGACAAACATTAAAGAAGACAGACCATTCCTGTGGAAAACGCCGTCATATCGTACAGAAGTGGAGTGCAAAGCAGGCAATAAGACTACATCATCAGGTGCTGTCTCTCACGTAGAGGTCGAAGCTGGCTCATTCTCAAGGGAGAGCAGCCGGTGCTTCGTTGGCATCAACGGAATCCTCATTGCCATCTTCCAAAGTCGCAACCAGTGAGGCATCCGAGCCTTTCTTCTCTGGTTCGTCATGCAAATCGTGTGCTTCTGAAGCACCATGCGCCTTCGAGAGCTGGCCATCGTCGCTTCCGAGGAAGGCACTGGCAACAGTCTCGGCCAAAGTATCCCACTGTGCATCGCCAACGTCGCCATTCGTTTTATCTTCGTCATCTTCCAGCGTAGGACTTTCATGTCCGCTCTTCTCGGGGCCGTCTTGAATGCTGCTGGTCGCTTCAGCACTTTCGTGGCTGTCCGCCTCACCACGGGGTATATCATTCGACTCGTTTGCGGGACTGTGATGAGGCGGCTCTGCTGGCTCGTGTAGGCTACTACTTTCATGGTTAGGAGACTCTCCTTCTCCGTCACGGGTGACTGGGGCTTCGTCCTCATCGCTTTCGTCGGATGCCGAGTCGATAGGCGCCTCAACGACCATCATATTCTCCTGCTCGTCGTAACGTGACATGTATTGCGCTTGGTGTCCGTTTGCAGGCGAACTTTGCTGCGGCAGGCCCAGAATCTCATCAAACGTCGTCGATTGTGCACGGTTATGTTGATGAGGAGGGGTATTGCTGTCCTGGTGAACCGGCTTCCGCACGGGCGCTTGCGAATGGACTTCTTTCCTCTTGATTTGCTGCTCTTTGTGCATTGGGACATGCATCTGTGACTGGTTCTGGCTGTGAAACACCGATTCGGTCGTCGGCCGGCGCTTAATCGGGGTGATCCGTGAAGGTAGCGGTGGTGGTGACGAAGCTGTAGAAGAAGTTCCATCCTTGGCTAGGGCGAGCTCGCCGGGTCTGGGCAGCGGCTCGCCCGGGGGCGGGAGAGGCATTCCGCCACCCATCGGTTTGCTAAGGTCGAGCGGCTCACCATTGCTTGCCGTCCGGCTTTCTAGACTTGCTTTTGCCTTGCGGTCAGCAGCCGCCGCCGCACGGCGCTGCAAGGCATTGATGCCCCAGCGTTTGGCCGACTGCGCAGCACCTGTCATGGCCGCAGCCAAAACGGCACTGCGCTTGGCGGGAGGCGTTCCGGAGTCGGAAGTAATCGTCGTAGTGAAGGATGGCTCCATCGACGATATGGGGCCTGAGCCTGAGCCGGCCATGCCCGCCAACGACGTGGAAGACGTCCGCCCAGATCGTGACTTGATAGACCGATCATCGAGAGACCCCGATTCACTGCCATCGCCAGTCGTAGCGCCATCAGCACGCATGGTCCTTGATCCTCGGCCAGGCGTTTCCGCATCGCTGACGGGGAACATTGAGTCGCCTCCTTCGTCTTCTTCGTCTTTGCTGTTGCTGCGCAGCCTATCGGTTGCACGACTTGCAGTCTGCGCAGCCGTGCTCGACTCCATGGAAGATACGCTAGATTTTCTGCTTCGGAGCGTGCCGGAGGACAGCCACGACATGGCAGTGTTCGGTTTGCCGTTCTTCGGCGGCGAGGACGACTGTATGGACGCCTCGGCATGGGATGTATCTGTGCCGACAATGGGTTCCGAAGGGCTAGCAAGAGAAGACGTTGTGCGGGAGAACCTCTTAGGCGGAGGCATGCCAGGAGAACTCGTCTCGCTGGCATCACCTGAGCGCTGTTTTCTATTGACGACCTTGGCGGCTGCCGAAATGGCAGACTCGCCCGATGCCGCGGTTGCGGGGGCGTGTGGTGACGCAGTGCCACTGGTCGGGGCACTGTGGGTCTTGCTAAGACGCCGTAGGCGCAACACGGCAGGCGAGACGTTTTCGTCGTTCTCTGGCGTGTTCGATGCCACACCTGTCGTGGACGCCGTCTTCGTGTCGGTGCCAGAAGCATGGCCTGTGTCCATCGATGGTGGATCAATCCCAGCACCGGTTTCGACGTGAACACCACCAGCCGCTTCTGTCCGGATGGCTGTACCTTCGTGTTCGGCATCCGACGCGTCCTCCCACAGGCCGCCGCGGTACGCCTTTTTCTCGGTCGGGAAAAAAGGCGTGTCGTCCCAAAACGGGAGCACAATGCTCTCGGAAATGGCCTCCTTGATCTTTCCCTCGATGATTTGGATAAAGACGGGCCAGGTCAGCTGGCGGGCCATGATAATCGGACGTGTCTCCATCTCAATCTTGGGCATGTGGCGGAACGTAAACCAGATGCGGTTGCTGGGTGGGCCCTTGACTTTGAACAGCATATGGCCCTCGAGGTGGTGCAAGACGACCGCCAACGATGTCTTGACTTCCTGCTGCCCGATGGGCGTGCTCACGCGGAGTGTGGCAGCCAGGTCAATTTCGAAGCGCCCGGTGTATCGAACATCGGCCTCGACAATGCACTCGCCTTCGGCCGTCAGGCTCTTCAGGCGGGGCGATGTGATTTGAGGGGTCGTATCGCCAATGTCGACACGCTGCACGACAAGACTCGAGATGAAGCCAGGCCGGGGTGTGCGTGACAGTTTGGTGACGACCTTGGATTCGACAAACTTGAGGACGTCCGACGTCTTGTACACGCCGAGGAACAGGCGTCCAAGCAGCGCGTTGAGCCAGCGCATGTCGGCGGCCTCTTCGGACGCGTGCAGCCTCTCCATCAACGATGTGAGGTGGCGGACGTCGATCTCGTGCGGCTTGGGTGCCTTGTCCAGGCTGCGCAGCAGGGAGAAGTAAAAGTCCTCCTTCTCGGAGCAGTTCTCGCAGTAAAAGAACCAGGGTCGGGGTGCCGGGGCGTTATGAGCCTTTGCCCGCTCGTGGTTCTTGGGTGCGAGGTGGATGGCGTTCCGCTTGATGAAGAGCTCGCCCTCAGGGACGACATCGGTGCCTGCGGAGATGCCGACGTCGTGGTCGGCAAGCTTGATGACGTGGCGCACGTCCACCTGCTGGTCGTCGTCAAAAAGGATCAAATGGCCGTGGCGGAGGACGACGTAGAACATGTTGTGTGCGTTCTTGGGCCGTGGGCTGGCGGCATTACTGACCTCGACCTTGGTCGGGTCGGATTTCTTGTTCAGCATGCTGCGGAAGAAGGTCTGGTACACGCTGGGACTGGGCGGGGCGACCTCGGCCGCGCCCACCGACGAGCCGCGCTCAATGGGCCGTAGGTTGCCGCCCATGGCAACATACTTGCGGTGCACAGCAAAGTAGCCGGCGGTCGCAAAGTCGTCGGCCGGGTCCTGGCGGTGTTTGTGCTTCTTGGCCGCGCCGTCGCTGCGTTCCTGGGCATGTTCTCGCCGTACAGCCTCGAGCGTCTTGACGTCGTCACCCGGCAGAACCAACCCATCGTATTTGTAGTTGTCTTTCCCTGTGGGTAAGCGGCCGCCATCTTTTGTTGTCGGGTCCGAGCTAGTCTGTGCATCTGACTCCACAGGCCGCGTCCAGGCATAAATAGCCGCCGCCAGTAGGAGAGGGAGAAATGTCAGGCCTCCGAAGAGATAGACGAGCAGGAAGGTCGTGAAATTAGCCATGGTCGCGGAGACGTCGGCCCGGTGGAGGACGGATGAGGCACAGGAACGTCTTGCAAACAGTGGGGAGCGGTTGAGAATGGCGGAGGAGGGACCGTCCGTTGCTGGGATGCCGTGAGGGAGGGGATCCGTAGGAGGTTCGCTATCGGAGACGATTCGGTCCGCGCGCTGGTTCCCACTCAAATTCACGCGTGATCGGACGAAGTCCGCAGTTCCATATCCGTCTGCAGACCAGTGCAAGGTAAACGAGGGATGGCAGGTTCGATAAGAGGTCGCGGGAGCTTCGCTGAAAGGACGCGGTTTCGTGCCCGCCAAAGGTGAACTGCTGTCCTGTTTGGTACTTCTGCTTCTGGGCGACTTTCAGCCGTGTGCAGGCAATTAGCGCGTGGATTGGCCAGTGCTGACGTCGATTGTGTGGGTGGTGGACGTTGGATTAGCCGCTTTGAGCCAAAGCGCTGGGGAGCGGGTGGACCAAGCTTTGTTTAAGGATTCATGGAACGACGGAAAGGCGGCTACAAACGATAGTTTGCGCGTTGAAAGGCGAGGAGGCAGTATGAGGCAATTTTGATCGTTTGTTGTTGTCTCGTATGATTTGGGCAGTTTCTGTTCACGTTGCACAACATACGTCTCGAGGGAAGGAGGCGCCGAATGTGACTTCCCTGACACCACAAGACTACGAAGTAAGCATGAAGAAGACGGACCCAGGGAAAGAGCCACAACGGTCGCCCCACTAAAGCTTCTGCCGCCTGCCGGCCTCGTGAATTTGGTAAGATATGTTGCAAAACGTGCATGGTACATGAAACTCCTACGATAAGACGCAGAGCTGTATCAGAGATCCTTTGTATCTTTCAGAGACTGCTCCATTGTGATCATATTCCGAAATGTTTAGCTTGTCAAGGATCAAGCTGCGTTACAAGCCCTACGGCTAAGGCCATGATTGACTCAGCTGTGATGAACTCCATCTGTATCAGCACCTTTGAACTGGAGATATTTGCATTTGATGATTGATACTAGTCAGCTGCGTGCCATTCTTGTTAGATGTACCGTGCATGGGTCAACTATAGGGCTGTAGGAGGTAAAGCAGGCTTCTCAAAGCTCGAGAAGTGAACAAAAGACGCCAAGGTCGCAACGCATCGTCTGGTGATAACGAGGAATGAATCATAGCTATGGATAGGCATAAACAAGTAAAGAAGCACAAAAGGACAATATTTGCGATGACAAAAAAAAAGCAGTAGGGGAAATACAACAAAACAGAAACTGTAGGCATCACGACAGGAGATGCTGGACAACCGCTACAACAAACGTTCGTCCCCTTTGCGCTGCTTCAGTTCACCGTCCCATCATTTTCACGTCTCGTCCACTTCCCCCGCCTGGCAGTGTCAAGGCTTCAAGTCAAATAATTAAAATTGACCCGTCTATTTACCACGCGTTCCGGTCCCAGTTGGGGTCTGTAGATGTCAGCAGTCTTGCTTCGCACACGGTACGTCCCTTGCCTGCAGCTCCGTAGGTTCTCTCTCAACGTACCCTGGACAAAGGCCGCCATGACCTTGCTGCCCGTCTGCAGCAGCGGGTGGCCGACGACAATCCGGAGAAACTTTTCCAGGCCGGCGCGCCGCGCCTCGATGACGTCGTCGCTGAAGCGGTTGGTAAAGACCTTGCCGGGCAGCGGCGGGATGGTGACGCGGGCGCTCTCGCGCTCGAGGATGTCGCGGAAGTACTCAAAGTCGCTGTAGCGGCGGCGCACGACGCTCTGGCGGACCTTGAAGGCGGGGATGTTGGTGCGGCAGTCGATCTCGTAGTCGGTGTACATGTGGCGGCCGACGCCGTGCGTGCGGGGGTTGCGGACCTCGATTTCCAAAAAGTTCTCGGGCGGGCCGTAGATCTCGTCAAACGACTGTGGCCGGCTCTCGGGGAGGGTCTGCATGATGGGCCGGTGGAGGGAGCTGGCGAAGGCGGGTGGCGGAGAGGAGGACGAGGTCGGGGCGGACGGGGAGGTGGGGGATGCCACGCCGGCGCTGGCGGCTGGTGGGTGGGACGGGTCTTTTGCTGGTGACGCCGTTGTGACGGTTGGGTGGGAGGGCGAGGCGGGAGCCTGAGAACGGAAGAGGAGAGCAGGCTGTCGTCAAGGCAGCGGCCTGTTGAGACGATATCGATCGCGAATGGGGGCTTCTATCGAGTGAGGTGAAGCCTGCTGGTGATGCGCGATGGGCGTGCGAGAGCGCGACAGGCGGCTGAGAAGGCCGAAAGAATGCAGTGGATGGTCGTGTGCCGTGTTTTGAGCGTTTTGCGCAATGCCACATCCGATTCCAAGTCAGAAGTACGACGTAATTAGTTCGTATTCATATGTCGTACTGGGAGACTTGACATTTGCGGGGGCCACAGCGCCTGTGGACCATCATCATACTAGTGCTCCTATTGGCCCAGCTGCTTGCCCCGCGTATTGGGTTTTGGGCGGTGGCCAACGGCCATCATCGCTGCCCAGAAACGTCAGCCTCGCGCTCTGGCCTCTGGCAGATAGACACAATTCAAAACGCGAGCATGCGATCTGACAGTGTCGACAATTGTGCCTTTGCTCTGTTTCGTGCCGTGAAATATCCGTGTATGTATTTTGAATAGCAAAGCAATATCATTACTGAGGGAGACAGATTTCCAGCTATTCCAGCTCTGCCAAGAAGAAGAAAACACCCCGTTTAGTTTTGTGGAGCAGCGCATTTTCAGTTCTTCAAAGTAAAATTGAGTCCATGCAGTGGCCTCCCCGAACTTATAATGCCATTGTTGACATTCGTCTCATGTTTGTCAAACGATGTTGACGGCCCGTTGTATTAGTCATTACACGTGATCATATTTGCAGAGACAAGGCTCCACACTAGCGTGTGCTCGCCTAGTGCTTGCCTCGCGGATTTTTACAGCGGGTTTGCACGCAAATCGCTTCCTATATCGCCCCCATCGAACGACACACGACGACAGCTTCACGACCACCGAACGTCACACCCTGTTCTTCCGTCCAATCTTTCAATACCGTCGTATCTCTTCTATTGCTCGTATCCTGCCTCTCTGTCCTCCCTGCAATGGCGTCGGACAACGCCGCGCTGTCGGCTGCGGTGGCGGTAGCGACCGCGACGCTGGACCGCATCAAGCCGCCGGCCGGCGTGATCATGCCGCCGCCGGGCGAGATGCGCGAGGTGATTGAGAAGACGGCGGGCTATGCGGTGCGGGGCGGTGCGGGCATCGAGGCGCGTCTGCGCGAGAACCACAGCAACAACCCGAAATTCAGTTTTGTGACGAACCCGGACGACGCGTTCCACGCCTACTACGAATGGCGGAAAGACGAGTACAGGTCAGGGCGGGTGACGGCCGTGGCGGCCGGTCGGGTGGGGGACGGGGCCGGCAGCACGCCCGGGGGTGGTGCCGCACAGGCGGGCGCCAGTGGCACACCCGCCGACGGCCCCAAGGGCCCCGAGAAGCCGCCCGACTACGCGTTCTCGGCACGCCTGCCCATCATGAACGCCAAGGACCTGGATGTGCTGCGGTTGGCGGCGTCGTTTGTGGCGGTGCACGGGCGGCCGTTTATGACGCAGCTGCTGCAGCGCGAAGTCAACAATGCGCAGTTCCAGTTCCTGCTGCCGAACCACTCGCTGCACAACTACTTTCAGCACATGGTCGACCAGTACACGCTGATCAACAAGGACCTGGGGGCCGCCCCGGCCGAGGGCGAGGGCGAGGGCGACAAGGCGCCGGCGACGTCGTCGGCGGACCGCCTCGCGCTCCTGCGCAAAAACGCCGACGAGCGTTTCTCGATCCTGCTGCGGGCCAAGCAGCGCATCGCGTACCGGGACTGGGAGGCGTCGCAGCGCAAGAAGGAAGAGCACGCGCGGGTGGTGGCCAAGGAGGAGCTGGCGCGGATCGACTGGACCAACTTTACGGTGCTGGAGACGATTGTGTTTAGCGAGGCGGACGACGCGGCGTTGCTGCCGCCGCCGACGTCGCTCAACGACCTTCAGTACGCATCGCTGGAGGAGAAGAGCAAGCTGTCAATGTCGGCGAACCGGATGATCGAGGAGGCGTTCCCGTTCGAGGCGCCTTCGTATGGGCGGTAGGGGGAAATAATGGTGCATAAAGCAGACATGAGATTGATATTATGATACCCAGAGCTGAATGGGAGCGAGAATGAAAAGGTGGATGGAAGCGTTGCGGTATGTTTGTGTACGATTATATACGGAAAGGGCAAGCATTGGCGCAGGTGATGCATTTCTGTGGTTTTTCTTTGTTTGGAGAAGTACCATACTTTGTTTGAATTTGGCTGTTTGGGAGCTACGGCCCATTATTTAGGATAGGAGTACAATATGGGAACATTTTTGTCACCTATAGTATAATATAACATCATGCGAGAGCGAAAATCACAAAGGCACTGGAAATGTGTGTATTGCATAGAGGGTGAGTCCCAGTGAAGTACCTATCTACCTACATGAAGTAAGGACTGTAGATGGTCGGGTCGGACAAAGGACAAAGCAGAAGACGTGCTGTCGAGCGGTGTTGAGATGCAAGAGCTTCGGTGAAAGCAGCAACATGGAGAAAAGGAAGATGGGCAGTTGGACCATGAAACGTGAAACGAAAGGAATAAAAGGAAGCGTGTAATGGTGCGCAAAGAAAAGGAAAAGTGTGAGAGTGTGGACAGTCTGGTGGTGTAGTAGAGGAAGTAAACAGAAGGGGGACGAGAACTAGGAACCCAATATCAATGGCAGATGTTCTCCATTCTTCTCACAATTGTCAATTTGTCCAAGGTAATATTAAAGCAGGCGACGAAGGACAAAAGAAAGAAGGCAAAGAAGCAAAACAGACAGCAGAGATGCGGATCAAAGACGGACAAGGACGATCTCGAGCGAAAATTGAAAGAGGTACACGTTGACGACGGACTGTTTAACGGTCACGGTGACCACGGCCGCGGCGACGAAGGCCATCGTTACGGACATTGCCGTCGTCGTCATAGAACGAGGGCGACCGGGGCCGGTACCAGCCAATGTACATGGGGTTGGGCAAGAGGGTGTTGCACGACGAACATGTGATGTAGCTTGAGATCGAGTCCGAGGACCAGTCCGGGCTGGGGTCCAGGTTGGGCGCGGACTCGGGACTGGTGGAGCGCTGCAGCGAGCGCTCGTCGTGCCAGTCGTATTCACTCTGGTCGTCACGCTCATCTGCACTCTCGTCTTCGCGCTCGCCTTCACGCTCGTCGTCACGCTCAAAGCTGTGCGCGAAGCCGTCGTCAGAGCCGTGCTCGAAACCGTCCCCGAAGCAGGGCTCCGGCGATCGCGGCAAGAAAAAATCGTCGTCGTCGTCGACTGGGTACGGCGGACCGATCGGGGCGGCGCCGAGATACGACTCATCCTGTCGGATGCGCGTGCTGTGCTCATCAGCGACGTCGAGATGGTGGTAGACATTGGACGCGGAACGATAGTAGTGGCTGCGCTCGCGCCGAAGCGGCGGCGGCGGCACGTCAAACTGGATGCGACGAGCAGACGGACGCGCCCCGGTCACGTTAGACAGACTGTTGCCAGGCAGGGAACCATCAAAGGGAAGGGGCTGGGCAGCAGGATGCAACGGGACGTAGGACCCGTCCTTGAGATCCAGTCCAGATGCCGGAGGCGGCTGGGGAAGTCGCTGGTTGTCGGGATCGGGATATGTCTCGGACATCGCCTCAGTGCCAGGCACAATGTTGTAGGCAGAGTTGTAAGAAGACGTCGACGCGAGAAGCGCTGCTGCCAGGACAGCCGCGTCATCGGCGACCTCAATGTTAAACGCCTGGCGTCCGGGCTCAGAGAGACGCCCGCCTTGGTGCGCTCCGTCGTCATCGTCCACGCCCGGGAAAACAGGCACCTCGGGGTTCACAAGGTTGTCCTCGGGGGAGTAGAGATGGCCGCCGGCATTGTTGCCACGATGGCCGCTGCTGTACGTTGCGGCGTCGTAATTGTGGCTGCATCTGGGGGATCGGACGACGGTCGGGTGAGCTGCTGAGTCAACGCTGGGGTCGTCTCCATCGGCGAGATAGCCATTGCGGCTCGACCCGAAGCTCGAAGCGCATCCGCTGCCGCTTGCCACATCGTTCTCGTCGGCGCCAGCTGGGACGGCTGTCCGGGGGGTTTGCTGGGCGTCGTGCGTCTCGGGGCGCTGCGCGCTTCGGATGTCTGAGAGCCGAGCGAAAACACGACGCAGATGGCGACGAACCCGGCCCGGTATTGGGTCAATGTTGGTGTCGACGGCGCCTTTGTTGCTGCTCGTGCCGCTGCTAGTGTAGTGCGTCACCGCCAGAGAGTCGCCGCCGTCGCTGTCGCCAACGGCTCGGTTTCGCATGTATAGGAAGTCCGCATCCTCGTCCTCTTCGTCGCCGGCGGCGTGGGGGACAATCTTCTCTTCTTCCTGCTGCTGCTGCTGCTCCTCCACTCGCCCAAGCTGCATGTTGCGTTGCGTAGAGACGCTACGCATCATTGGCATCCAGTCGGCAAACTCAATGGGCCCCGTCATGGGAGGAACCTCGAGGGTGCCAGGCGAGCCAGGAGCGGTGACAAGACGGGAGGCGTCCACTGTCCCAGAAAGAGCCGGGGGACTAATTGTCGAAGGAGACTCGACCAAGTCTTGGTCGGAAACCACCGTCTCGGGGCTGGTGGTAGGGCTTGGCCTATATTGATATATGTTAGTCGAGATACATTTGCGTCGAGGGGAATGTTGAATGAATGGCGCATACCTAGTCGCCTCAGTATTGTGAGAGACCATTGTTTTGTTTTTGTGCTTTTTGGGTGTTCTTTGGTTTGTTCGATGTTGATAAGTGACGGTGACGAAACAATGCAAGACAAGATGGCGCAGATAAAATAAAAACACGATCGAAGAGCTGCAAGAAGAGGGTGTATAAACAGCAGAGAAACAAACAAAACCAAAACCAAAACCAACAAAAATATATAAAAGTGACGAAGGTGGAAGCGTTCAGGTGACTGTCAGACAGGCAAGGTCAGGACCGAGCCGCACCTGTAGGAAAGTCCTGGACTAGGAATGGTGGTGATATGATACAAGAAGGTGATGCGTGTGAAGAGAAAGTGTAAACCATCCAAACAGCGGGCGTTGTCTTGTCCTTTTATACTTTTCTGAGCCCTCCAATCTGTCATATCATCACGGCCCTCCAATATGAGATGTTGAAGGCTATTTCGACGACACCTCGTTGTAGGCGTTCTATGGGCGTCTTTTGATGCCTCCTTTGCCTACATGCGTCTCTGCACAATGGCCGATTATGGCTCCCTCCCGGTCTACGCTTTGTCCTGATGTTGGCCGTCTTTCACGACCTGAAAGCACTTTGTCTCTTTATTCAGTCGCCTTTGTACCGTTTAGCTGTGCCTTGTTCGTCAGTGGACTGCAGTGCCACGGCCTTGTTGACGACCGCCTCCTAGCTAAGTGGTGACCTACACGCAAAGACAGTCCGCCTGCTATGGTGCCTCGCTCATAGCGACCTATTGTGTCGACCGTCTCCGACTTACAAGCCACAGAGGTTGAGCGTTTGTCATGAAAATAGGCGACGTGGACTCCTCGCAGAAACAAGGGCATGCCCAAAGACGCCGCCACGGAGCGTGTGAAGCGCGCGGGATAGCCTTGCCGTGCGTGGCAGCTCTATGGCTGGGACCAGTCGTGCCATATTGTAACCAGTGGTCATATTGAATATTTGTCTCTATCCTTTATATCCTCTATTCTGACTATCATTACCCAGCACACTGAAAAGCTAAAATAAAAGAACCCATGCATCAGTAACCACTCCAGGTCCTATTCCTATTCTGAGAAATAAGCCTATTCATAAAATCGTCGTCTAAAAACAATCCTATTGTGGCTTGTACTTTGTTTTTCTTTTGCAAAGAAAGCAAATAAAAATGATTTTTGTTGGGAGTTTGCTGCATCGTAGACAGCTAAGAGCACTATTCTCGGTCCCTAAGTATGATACTGGGGAGGATGTAAGTGCTCGGTGACAGAAATTGATCTCTCCCTCCTGCCACAGAAGTGAAACATAAAATAAACGAGATATTCAAACAAAAGCCAACCCAAAGGGTGTGAGGCCACTGGCTGTCACAGGCCCAGGAGAAATCATGGCCGGTGTTTGTGTGTCCGCTGGTCGGCGGTAGATCTCGCTTCTTCTGGCAATGCTTGAAAATAGAGACGGAACAGCGCGGCGACAGTATAAGCGCTCATCGCCAGAAAATAGCATCCGCATAAATTTTGGGGGCCGTGACAAGCGTCGAACGAAGTGGTCCAGGGTGCAGACTTACTCCTTAACGTATTAGGAACGGCTGACGCAGTGAATTTGGAAATATGATACCCGAGACGAAGTAAAGAAAAAGTAGGATAAGAAGGAAAATAAAAGAAGACAGGAAGCTTGAGCAAAAACTAGGCGAGTTCGTTTGGCGTTCTATGGCGAGGCAGCCATATAAACAATATCCATTTTGAAACCAAACGGTGGGCGAGAAAACGGTGTTGCGCTTTTGGCTGATAATTGGTAGACGCTTCCTGCCAGATGCGCTGCAAGATGTCCTGCAAGATATGCTGCAAGATATCCGGCAGCCGCTTTTGTTTGTGCCACAAACAAGCCCCTGTAGCCATCATAAGCAAGGCTTGGCCGCAGCCCGGCCGACCCAGACGGCCACAATTGCCGTCCCTATCAACGCCCTTTTGATTTCGACCAGCCAGCAGTCGTTGTTTACCGCCCAACATTTATAAGGCGGTCTACCAAGACAGAGGCATGCCATTTCGTCGTAGTTTTTGGCAGCGTCGTTGGCAGAACGTGTTCGTCACATGACGATGATCGCCTGCACCTGGTGCAGAATTTCTGCGCGACAGGCTCAGCGAGAGCAATTGGCGAATAGATGCCAAATATAAAGCAAGAGGAGTATGAAAAATCAGAGATAAAAGATGCAACAAGCTTTTTTAGCTGAAGAAGGGGAATTTCGCCATCCTCCTTGCCGTCTCCGCCCGTCCAATAATAATACGGCGACTATTCATGAGCGAAGTGCAAGAAACAAATGCCGGGGGAGAATCGTTATCCACGCTGCGCCCGAGCCATCTAGATGCACTGCTTCCTGCGCTCAATGAAACCGAGATCGTGGAACCGGAAAATAAAACAATCAAATCCCCTTCTATCAAGAGTGAATACATGCAAACGCCAGGAAGAGTCGGCTGTCAAAGGAAATCAAAGCTGGGCGAGTAGAAAAACAGATGACAAGATATCAGGCAAGAAATCGTCCAGATGCCCGCAGTAGCAGAAATTACATGGCTCCAAAAATAGAAAGAAAAAAAAATAAAAGCAAGCAAAACTACCAAAGATCAAAATCCGCTCAACAAGCTCAACTAACAAAAGACCAGTGGACCCGCCACATCAGGTGGGCGGATGGGTGGGCACATAAACGCAGGGCGCAACGCGATACAAAGTAAAGCGGCTAAGGACCAAGGAGCGTGTTGAAATGCCCTTGGGTCCTTCGCTGAATCGTGTAACAAGATCGGGCCTTGTTCCTGACAAGACCACCATGCAGCGCGTAAATATTAATCGTCGTCGGTGTCCATGGGCTCATCGCAAATGATTTTCACTCTCGGCGTGAACCAACGAGCCTTCTAGACCGGTTGAACGCGCATGTCAGGTGCAACGTGAATGACATCATGTGCAACAACCGGGGTTGCTGATTTGGTTGCTGCAGGAGGAGGGCTAAGTGTATCTTGCTTGTCTTGCTCAACAGGCGGTGTGTTCTCGTCGGCGCCGACCGTGACTTTCATTCTCTCCATCCTAGCCCTAGCTCGAGCGCGAGCAGCCTTGAACTCTTCCACATCGGCTCTACGAGCGACGCCATATTCAACCCGAGTTTTGGTGATCCGCGGCGCAGATTCCGTGGTTGTTGCCTCCGCCAACGGGCCTGCTTCAACATGTGCTGGCGCTGATGGGAGAGGAGCAGGGGCGTCAGTTGTAGCATCGATCAGGATATCGGATGGGACATCAGCCCCGGCCTCAGCCATAGGTGTGTCGTCGTTGTCACTTTGCAGGTCCGCGATCTTGACGTATTTTCTAGGGCGACCAGGTCCACGCTTTGGTTTGTAGCTTCCATCTTGCTTGGCGGCAAGGCGCCTAGCGGCCACCAGCTGGCGCTTGACTCTGAGCTTCTGCGCCTTTGACAGTTTTCGCACACGCGGTTTTCTGAGCTCAAGGCCACCCTGAACTGGAGATGAGGCATCGTCTGTTTCGCCAGACTCAAGTGTGGAGTCATCGAGCATTGAATCGTCAAGTGTGGAATCGTCAACATTTGAAACATCAACAGTGAAATCAAGAGATCTGTGCGTGTTTGCAGCGGCCTCGGTGGCGAACTGGGTGGCCAGCTGCTCTTCCTCGTCGTCCAACGCGAACAAATCAACAGGCGCCTGCTCTGAAACCTCGTTCAACTTCGCGGCTGCTTCGCCAGCTGCATCATTCATTGGCTTGTCAGCGACGGGTTCCTTTGTGGCCAGCCGCGGGCGACCACGCCCGCGCTTCACAATGGTGTCACTGGAGGTGGTGGTCACAGTCGTCGTGGTTGTGGTTGTGACATCGGCTTTTTTGGTCGTAGTGACCGTGGACTTTTGCTTCGTCTGCAACTTCTTCAGAGGCTTCACAGGCACCTTCGCCCGGGCATATGCGTTGCTGTTGGCCTTGCTAGTCTTCCGAGAGGCGATCGGCTTCTTGGCCGAAATGGCAGCATTAGCGAGCTGTGCTGCCGCCTTCGCCGCCTTGGCGACGGCCTGGGCCATGGGCGTTGCTTGCGTCGCTTGCGGCGTCATTGGCTCCCTGTTCATAACATCATCGGTGGGCGGTGTCGTTGCCTTCTTCCGAGTCTCAGTGGCCTTGGTCTTCTTGGTCGGCGACGCGGCTGGCTTGCGTGCCGGTGACTTTGTAGCTTTGGTGGGCTTGGAAGCTGTGGTTGTTCTGGTGGCCTTGGCAGGCTTGGCTGTCTTGGATGCTTTTGTCGTTGTCTTGACCTCCTTCGACACAGACGACTTGGAGGCCTTCAGGCCCTTGGCGGTCTTGACAACTTTAACGGACTTGGCTACCTTTACGACCTTGGCAGGCTTGGATGCAGCACTGCTTGTCTTAGACGCGGCCGACTTGGACGTCTTTGCCTTCGTGCGCTTAGCCTTGCCTGCTGCTGCGGCCTCGGCCGCTCTCTTAGCCTCGGCCTTCGCGATCCGCACAGCTCTCGCAGCATGCGAAGCTTTCGTGAGTCGGGCAATTCTTGCTGCATTGGCAGCCAAAGCTTCCAGGGCGGCCTTTGTCGTCGTCACAACCTTTTTCGGTGGTGGAGCCTTGGTGGGCTTCTTGACAGGCCGGATCGGGGACTTTGGCGGAGCTTCAGCTACCCGTATCTTCTTGCTCGCCGGGTCGCTGGTTGCACCATCCGTGTCGACGTCGTCATCCATACTGTAGGCATCATGCTTGCGCTTCGAGGAACCATTGGCGCCCTTGGCCTTTTGGCTCGCTTTCTCTGCGGCAGCCTTCTCGGCAGCGGCTTTGGAAACGGCCTTCTCACTCTTCCGGGGGCCGAGCACACCACGGCAGTTGTCAGCTCCACAGAGACATCCTTGCACGTTCTTAGCGGAGTATGGATCAAAATTATAATCATAAGTGAGCTCTTCGCCTGTTTGGATGGGCCGGTCGCCAGCAAAGAGAGCGATTCGGGGTTGGCCGGATACAATCCATTTGATCATGCGGCAGTTCGGAGAGCACGAATGGTTGACAAAGCGAGCGATACTACCGCTGGTTCCGTCGATGATGAGAGACTGGTCAAAAGACATAAGGTAGTAGCACTGTTGCGCGATCTGTTAGTGCTGGAGCAAAATCTCACAAAGGCAAGACAGAGAAGATATGCGAGGATGGGTGGGCTTACCGCGTTGTTCTTGTACAGCTCATTCATTCGCCGGTCGGACTCTTCCTCCGTTATGATCTCGCCAATATATTCCATAATGATTTGGCCGGGGCGGAAACCGCGGCTGGCACGAATGCCATGACCACGATCCAGCGTTTTAAACACCTCGACACCGATATGATACGGGTTCTTTGAAGCAGTTCGGTCCGCCAATCTTTGGAACTCGCGATTGCTGCATCGCTCCGGGCCCACGTTGCAGATCTCGTCATTGCACTCGTAGAGCATAATGCGGTTCTGGCAGTCTTCGTCACAGCCCGTCTCTGGCTTGCAAACGCATTTGGACTGGAAGTCGTCGTAGTTGGGGTTCTTCTTCCAGATGGCGTGGGCCTCACCAACAAAGCGGTCTATCAGGTTAGCACACACTTTCGAAAGAACAAAGCAGTAGTATATTCCGGATGATTAAGAATGGGTACTCACTCTTGCTGAACCGCCCATACTTGACGGGCTTCGGCTGGCCAGGCGGGAGGGGGTTGAAGACGTCGAACGGCATCTTGAAATCGCGGCCCTCAATCAGGGTGCGCAGTCCGTTGTAAATGGGCATTGGCAGAGTCTTGTTCGGTGGGTACTTTTTCGACAGCTCCGGCAGCTTCGCGAGCTCCTTGCGTTCAGCGGGTGTAAGGCCTGCAGCGGGGTTGGACGGTGTCGGCATGCCGGCATAGAGACCTTGGTTCATCCATTTCTTGACGCGCTTCTTAGGCAACGCGGCCTCAGCAGCGGCCTTCTCCTCGGCAGCCGCGGCCGCGGCAGCCGCAGCCTCTTCGGCTTTCTTCTTCTCCACTTCCTCGGCAGCCTTGGCGAGTTTGGCTTTCTTGGCGGCGTTCTTGTCGACCAGTGGCTCGCCATTCGCGTTGGCCGGAACGTACCTACCGTTGCTCCAGACCGTGTAGACAATTGGTTCGTTATCGACGTGTGAGAATTCCTTAGTATCTTGAAGGCGTCGTAGCTCGCGTGGCAGTTCTTCAGTCGTGGGCTTGTCGGACACTCTCCGTCTCCGTTTGCCTGATGCGGTACCCTGAGGGCTGGATTGGGAAAGGGACAGGTCAGTGGGAAGGCCAGACAGGCGCGTAACCCGTCTCTCGATAGGAAGAGGCGCGTCTTTGGCGGTCTTTGCTGCAGTGCCTTTCGACTTCGGAGAGGGTTTTGCTGCCTGTCTTGCCGCCGAGGCCGATGCCTGCTTTGCAACTGGGCTGGCTGTAGCTGCGGCTGCAGCAAGGGACACCCGCTTGGAGGCACGCCGTGCTGGCATGGCTGCCGACGATGTCTTGTCATCTCCCGCCGACGCTGCTGACGCAGCCTCTCCTGCTGCTCGTGGTGCGGACCCTGGTGCAGAAACCATAGTGTTGGCATCAGGGTTGACAGCACGCCGGGCAGGCTTTGGTGATTCCGAGGCTCCTGCCTTGGACAGTCGTGCCATTCTCATAGGCCGCCGGGTTGCAATGCTGTCTTCCGATGGTGTCGCTAGCAAGGGAGTATGCTGCTCCGACTGAGATGCTGGCTGAGAAGTTGACGCTGGGGGAGGTGTCAACTCTGTTAAAGCCGTCGCGGCGTTTGCCGTGTCGCCGTTTTGCGCATCTTCGCTGCGGTCGTTACCACGGTTCGCTTCCCATCCGTCGTTTGCAGGCCGGTCGCTGCTGGTGTGTATCTCAGATTCGTGCAGATGCGCAATTGCATCAGTCATCTCTGTATCAGCCTCAATGGCTGCAGCTTTTGCGACAGCACGGTCCCAAATCTTGCCAGAACGGCCGACCATGGAATCAGGGTGGGGAGACTGGTTTGCTTCTGACTGCGGGGTGATGGTGGACTGTGTGTCTGGCTGAGCGAACGCGGGTACCTGGTCGTCGGCAAACTCGGAATCGCGGTATAGCGCGTCATAAGGAGACTCGTCCTCGAGCGCAGGGCACTCGCTATCGGCATTGGAACCGGCATCGTTCATGTACCCGTCATCTGGAGGTGTGGCAGTCGGCGTGTCGGCAGCCACAGCGGTGGCCACGTGTCTCGAGATGTAGTCCGCATTATCAACAAACTGCGGTGGAGGTGTAGAGTGAGGGTTGTAGGGTGGTGTCGTCGGCATGGTGTCGGACAGGATGGCGCCGGAAGCAGTGGTCGCAGCGGCTGCGGATGCTGTGACAAGGATGTCGCTCTCGGGCTTCGTCAGGACAGAGCGCGAGCCGTTCGTTAAGGTCGATGCTGGTGTTGACTGCGCAGAGGCGCGTGGTCCAGAAAAAATGGGCAGTCCTGACAAACCAGTCCCAGCCGGGCTCTCCTCTTTGACAGGGAGCATGGTCCCCTCAGGGCTGTAGATGTTAGAATAGCGTTCCGACCAAAGTATGCCGTGCAAGAAAGCAGCGCAGAAACAGGGCTCTTGAAAGCCAAAAGGATATGCAGACAGCTAGCAGCGCCGAATGACAATGTGCCTGCGTCTTTTTTTGTTCCTTGCTACTCGATCTAAAGATGCCCCTCCAGTTGCCAGTTTGTCATTTCTTCTCGTGTCATGCGTTCCTTGCCGTTTGCCAGCAGCTGTCTGAGCGAGCTCGTTTGCACAGACTGGACAGCTTTTGTTTCGGACCGACGCGTTTTCCGAGCTGATTTGGCACTCGAGCGCCACACTCGGAACGACGAGGGGCCTCGCAGGTGATAGAAGTGGAAAACGATGCGGTATGTGGCCGTTTGAGGTGTTGCACATGCCAGACCACAAATTGGGCAGAAGGGAAGCTGCTTGAGGAGTAGGTGAACGAGCAGAAACACTTACATAACAGCAACGTCCCCCATGGAACTAGATGTCAGGTTGTTAGAACCCAGTGGCATGCACGAACGCGTAACACGCGAGAGGGGAGGTGGTGGTCATGAAGGAACAAAAACAGGCATGTGAGAGTCCAGGTTTGGGGACAGGGCACGATGTTTGAAATTTCAAAATGGAGGGGAATTGCGAATAGGGAAGGAGGTATATGAGGAAGGAGCGACCGTGGTGAGAAAGGAAAGTGCGCGGTTGAGGAGGGAAGGAGAGAATGGCTCCGTGTCGCGTCGAGAAGGAGCGTTAGCAAACACACTATGAAATTGGCTGGAATTATTTTGGTCTGGAAAGGGGTAAAAGGTGATGGTGCTGTTGCTCGAGAAGGTGCAGTCCTGTGGCTTGCGCGCGCACAAGCGCGTTAATGGAAAGCGCAGACAGAGCAGCGGGGAGGGATAATAAAGGGTAGGCTGGGAACGAGGAAGGCGCGGCGCGTGTCGTGTGTGGTGTGGTTTCTTTGGCTGGGCCCCGGCCGTGATTGACAACCAGCCAAGCAAGGCGGCCGAACAGGGAGCAAGAACGTAAGAAAACGAGGTGGACGCGTGGGGAGGGGAGAAGGACTAGAAGTGCTGGACGAAGCTAGTGCATGCATGGCCTGGCCCGACCTACCCTTGGTGCAATTTACTCGGGAAGCAAATCAGACAATGTCCCGGGTCAAGGGCCAAACCCAACGTAACAGTTCATAACAGTAGCCACTCACACGAAAGGAGGATACACAGTCTGAGGCAGAAAGGCTCGCGGGGAGCCGGCGGCAACGGCTCGATTCGTGGAATGAGAGGGGGTGAAGAAAAATCGAAATAAGAATCTAAAGAGGCAGAAGAGAAGAAGTCGAACTAGGCTGGATTGCGTGTTTTTTATGTCACTCTCTCCTGCAAGAAATGTTGCAATGACCGGCAGGGGGGTAGTGGCCCAGGGGTGAGATGAAGGGTGAAAGGGAAAAACGATGCAGCCTGTTTGTACCGAGTGGACGGTTGGAAGAAGACCATGAGAGGGCTTCGGAGAGAGGGACGATAGGAGGAAGTCGTGCTAGGAAGAGAACACACAAACTAGACCTGTGCAAAAGTACAGTGCCAATACTGACAACTAATGTTGGCACTCACCCAATGCAGATGATCGATGACTGACGGGCGTCAACTAGCCAGATTTTGGGGAGTGTTGGGGGCAACAGGTGACAATCTGACGGCGAGCGACGCCGATGCCAAAAGGGGCCTTCGGCAAGCTGATGGATTGTCGGTGAAGCAGAAAGCAGACCAGTGGAAGCCTCACCAACACACGATGAGCTGTTGTCTCCAAGGTTTGTTTTGATGGGTGTACCTCAAACAGGAATGAATGGGATGGTCAGCGACAGCAAGAATGGCGAGCGCTGGGCGGTGACGATGCGTGATGCAGTAGTTGGTGGTGATGGCGTGAGAAAAACGATGTGCTTGTCGAGGACTAGCTTTTCTCGTCGAAACGCGTCGATTGGCTCTGGGCTTTCCGCTATCGACGGTTTGTTTCGCGGCCGCAGTGAGAATGGAAGAAAGAGATGTGGAGGCGGCGGTCGTGGGCAGATATTGCGCAGTGACGAGCCAAAATATGGACGGAGGGAAGTTGAAGTGGTTAAGATGAAGAGTTTCTCGCAGCCGCTTGATCTCGGGCGTGATGGACATGCACGAAAATAAGGGATTTGCGACTGTGGAGGCTGCCTTTCTTGGGTGATATCACGCTGCGGTCGTCCTGATTGACTTCAAAGGTACGTTTCTAAACTGGGGTCAGGAGAATGTACAACTTTGTCGTCAAAGAAAAAGGCGAAAACAGAAAGTAACGGTCGTTCTTCAAACAGGCTTGAACTTCTTTATTGTTCACAACTAAATGAATTAATTTTTTTAACATGACGGTCTACGTACGAGTGTCGTGTTTTTGTTTTCGGTGAGTACAAAGTACGGTCACGCTCAATGGGACACCTAGTGTTATGACCTCGCTAGACACAGAGCGGCCGTGTTTTGTGATAACCTCGACCCGACCGTGTCCTGACATCGACAGAATTTTACTATTGATCTCGTCCCGGGGCGTTGATGTGAAGCTGAAGAGAGAAATGGAAGGCTTCAATAAGACCTTCCAAATGCCATCCATGTCGCGACATCACCAGATCGTGATGCTGATTATTTGTTTCACTTGGCTTCAAACCATACACCTTCTGCGTGTTTTTACCGTTCCGTTTGATCCAAAACAAACTGTTTCAGGCTTCGGTTTTTAGTCTTCTGAGCGCGTAATCGAATGAGCGATTCTACGTGTGACACTATGACCGTTGTAGTCTGTGATGATGATGCCGAATACGGGCCAATTTCGTACAGAAGACGAGGATGATAAGCGCACAAACCTAATGTGACAACTCCCAAGTCAAAAATAAGACAAAACCGCAATGGTCAAGCTCTGTCAGTCAGATTTGCAAAGCATTTGCTTATTTATTTCACCTCTGAGAAGTTGGAAGCAAACCGATGCGAATGGATATCTCAATATGCTGCATACACTGATTCGCCCAGCACTCCACAGGACGCGCCATATAAGAATTGATAAATCCTACGACATATATTTTTTAATTTGACTCTGTCTCTTTATTACTGCCTCACATGAAATTAAATAAAAAAGATACCCTTGGCCTCACTGTAGATAATGCTTGTATAGTCTCTACTTTTGACGCTTCTTCGATGACCTGCACACCGGCACCGGTAGACAAAAAACTGCATTCGACTACTTTTGTCCAAAACATGAACTTTCTCCTCTTTCCTTCAGCAAGGTATCTTTAAGTATCTCACCACGTCTTCGGCTTTCCCGGTCTCGTTTGCTATCTGATTAAAAGGCCAAGCGGTCGCCATCTCTTGGCTGTCAAACCTCGACACAGAAAAGCTAACCTTTCAGGCTTTGTTCGTATTAGAGATGGTCCACGTCATCTTCTACAGGCGATGTTACAAGCAAAGCCTTTCTGGACGAGAGCTTGGTATGTATGTGTAGAAACAAGCTCCCAGGTTCTTAAAACGATAAAGAAGGAAGATTTTGAAATATGTGGTAATTGGACTCCAGTATTTGGAAGAATTTATTCCTAATATTGTCTGTTTTGAGTATTTTCTATATGGCTTTCGGTACATTTTTTTTTTAAAAAAAAAATGCAATAGAAATTCTAATTTATATTTCCAAAATAAATAAACAGTAGGCCAAAAAAAACTATACCATACCATCAAATACCTTAACATACCATAGTTCCATAGATATTTCCAAAGCGCTGACATACTTAGGAAACCCCTCTCACTGTCATCGTTCGTATGAATTCTCCCCTTGAATTGGGTGAGTGTTCCCATATGGCCGCGAAAGCGTCAACTCAAGCATGCTCACAACCTCCAAATCCCTGCATCTTTTGATTTTTGTTGCACATCTGGTCGCCACCACATGTTCTACAGCCAACCAATAGATTCTGCACGCTCAACGGTAACTCTGGCTACGATTTATTTACGCCGACTACGCAAGCTGGCGCCCGTGAATAGTCAATGTGGCCAGCACAATGCAAGGAGAAGTACTTTCGGCGCCACCGCATACCATGCGAACTGATCTTCCAAGCCACTTTCATTACACTAAATGTTTCCGCAGCTACCCATAATAAGAGTAAACAAGATTCGAGTTTAGTGGAGTTCACAGCTGTTGTTGGTTTTTCGATTTTTAAGACGGTGATGTTGGTAGACGTAAGACGTGATGGAAAGGCTGGGAATTAAATAAAATGCAAATTTAATATGGAAACGGGGCTCTTCCCATTCGACAAGGACAGACGCCTTGCATCGCTGTTGCCAACACGCAGAGCCCCACCAAGCCTAGCCCAAGTAACCTGGGAGCCTTCTGGAGGGGCAGGTACTGGTACGTTTTCTCTAGTGCAATAATAGACATTATTGCTCGTGAGTTTTGTAGCTATACATATAGAAAGAACCAATGGCCCTACAACGTGCCCACGCTAAACATATTCTCGATTTTTTTCCCCTGATAAACTTTTTTTTTGTTCCAGGCGCTATTTGGTATTTGCTTCGCTGTCCCGCCTCAACTCGACCTTCCACGAGCTCTCCTACCACCACTTTCGAGCTTTTTGTCGCTGTTTAAAACTCTCCCACCTCACCGCCGAGCCTATCGTACATTTGCGAATCCCGATAATTCCAATACACCTCGCACTACACCATAAAATGTCTACCGAGGTGGCACCGCTCCGGTCGGCCACGCGGGTTGCGCCGGAGGACCGCACGGCCATTGGTATTTCCTTTGGCAATTCGAACAGCTCGATCGCCTACACATTCGACGATCGGGTCGAGGTCATTGCCAACGAGGACGGTGGTGAGTCTTGTTGTCCTGTATAAGGCTGGGCTATAGCTGTCCCGGGAGGAGCGTCGGCTTGCTAACCGTGTTTTCGTTTCTGTTTTATAGATCGCCAAATCCCGACTGTTCTGTCGTACGTCGATGGCGAGGAGTACTACGGCCAGCAGGCAAAAAACTTCCTTGTGCGGAATTCCAAGAACACGGTTGCCTTCTTCAAGGACCTGCTCGGCAAGGAGTAAGTCTAATCTCTGGGGCATTACACTCTGTGTTATATTCGACACTGGACTGACAGTGGCCGCTATAGTTTCGCCTCGGTCGACCCTACGTACTGCCACGCCTCGGCCCACCCCCAAGAAACGAACGGCGAAGTGACCTTCTCCATCATCGACAAGGCTGGTGAGGCCGGCAGCGAGGACGACGAGCCCAAGCCTGCGGACCCGTCAACTGTCTCCGTGCACGATGTTGCGACGCGTTACCTACGCCGCCTGGTTGGCTCGGCCTCCGAATACCTGGGCCGCAAGGTCACGTCAGCCGTCATCTCCGTCCCTTCCAACTTCTCCGACGCCCAGCGCCAGGCCATTATCAAGGCGGCTGACGCCGCCGACCTCGAGATCCTGCAGCTGATCTCGGACCCTGCCGCCATCACGGCCGCCTACACTGCCCGGATAGACGCCGAGGCCGCTGCCAGCGATGCCGCTGACTCGGCCAAGGACAAGGTTATTGTTGTTCTGGATCTGGGTGGCACCCGCTCCGACGCCGCCGTCATCGCCTCGAGTGCTGGTATGGCGACTGTCCTGGCCGCCGTCCACGACTACGAGTTTGTCGGCGCGGCCCTCGACAAGGTGCTGATTGACCACTTTGCCAAGGAGTTTGCCAAGAAGAACAAGGGCGTCGACCCGCGCGAGAACGCCCGCAGCCTTGCCAAGCTGCGCCTCGAGGCCGAGGCCACCAAGAAGGCGCTGAGCCTGGGCTCGAACGCCTCCTTTAGTGTGGAGTCGCTGGCCGATGGCATCGACTTCACCAGCACCATCAACCGCATCCGCTACGAGACGTTGGCCCGCCCCGTGTTCGAGGGCATCAACCGCCTGGCCTCGGATGTCGTCAAGAAGGCCGGCCTGGACCTGATTGATGTCGATGTCGTCCTCCTGTCGGGCGGCACGGCACACACCCCCCGCATCGCCGACAACATGGCGACGCTCTTTTCCAACACGGCCTCGGTCGTGGCGCCTAGCCTCGTGTCGTCGGCCACCAACCCGTCCGAGCTCCAGGCCCGTGGCGCTGCCCTGCAGGCCAACCTGGTGCGCGACTTTGATGCCGAGGAGATTGAGCAGAGCGCCCACGCGGTCGTCAGCACGGTGCAGCACACGTCGCTGGCCGTCGGTGTGGTTGTGACGCCCCTGAACGCTGCGGGCGAGGCCACCGAGGTGTTCACGCCCATCATTGCCGCCGAGTCCGCCGTGCCTGTGCGGCGCGCGATCCTGCTGCCCGCCCCCAAGGAGGGCGGCGATGTCCTGCTGCGGTTTGCCGAGGGCAGCACGCACGTGCACACGATCGCCCCGGCCAAGAAGGAGGAGAAGGCCAAGGCCGACAACGAGGACGACGAGGACGACTCGGACTTTGACTCGGACGAGGAGGAGGAAGAGGAGCAGCGCACAAAGGGCTGGAAGGTCCAGGGCCTGCTGGCCGAGGCTGCACTGCGCGACGTGACAAAGGGCGCCAAGATCGAGGTGGCCATCAGCATCCGCGCTGACTTTGGCGTCAGCTTCACGGCAAGAGAGGTTGGCGGCAAGGCCGCGATCCGCGGATCGTTCTAAAGGGGGCGGCTGAAACGATAAACAAAATAAAATATACGAAAGTAGTGGACAAAGGGGGCTGTTTTACGAATATTTCCTTTTTGTTTCTTCTTGCTTCGCACAAAAGGAGGCTACACGAATACATCTATATAGGAAGCTAGCGGGGAGCAAAAACCAAACGGTTGCAGGCATCGATAGAATTTCTGTGGGCTTGGGGAATAGACTTGGCACATGTTGTTTTCCAATCCTACACTGTTGCAGTGCCACACGTGGCATATCACGGATCATAGAAATGGACGGGCAGTCCGTTTGAAGACACTACTCAAAGGGGAAAAAAAGAGCCGTGTGCTTGTATTAAGAGGATCAAAGTGTCCATTATAAACATTGTTAATGTACAGCTGTATCCGAAACAGCGCCGATTGTGTGCCGCCATAGATGTGGGCAACGTTTGGTATATACTGTTTGCCATCGGCGCCAATTCGAAGACGTCAGGTTGTGGGTGGTAGGGTATCGAATCTGTACGATTATGCGACAGGGAC